CCTCAGGGCAATGCAGACACTCTTCAGAGAACTGAAGAACATCTGAAGCCTTCAAAATTCCCTAGAGCTAAAAATGCTCCTGCATATACCACTGCAGGAGACCCTACCATCTTCAAGACAAGGAGAAAAAAAATGGAAAAAAACCTGTCCTTAATAACTTATAAATGCCAATGAGATTTGGACTCGAGATCCTGATGGCCTCTTACTTTCTAAAACTACTAAGTCATGTTCACTTCTCTGCAAATTAGTTTTTAAATTGTCATCATGTATTAACTTCTCCACCACCTAATCTTTGCTGCTTTTGCCATTTTCCCTCATCTGACAGTAATGAAAATCAGGCAGAATACATGTAAATGCTGTGCACCCCTTTTTTTTCTTCCTGTATTAAATGAGTGGGGCACCAAAAAAGAAAAAAAAAAATCATAGAACAGTTTGGGTTGGAAGGAACGTCAAAGTTCATCTAGTTCCAACGCCCCTGCCATGGCAGGGACATCTCCTACTAGATCAGGTTGCTCAAGGCTCCATCCAGCCTGGTCTTGAACACTGCCAGGGATGGAGCATCCAGAACTTCCTCAGGCAACCTGTTCCAGTGTCTCACCAGCCTCAGGGTAAAGAACTTCTTCCTCATACCTTGTCTAAATCTGCCCTCTCCCAGCTTCCAGCCATTACCCCTCATCCTATCACAACAGGCCCTTGTAAAAAGTCCCTCCCCAGCCTTCTTGTAGGCCCCCTTCAGGTACTGGAAGGCCACTACGTCTCCCCGGAGCCTTCTCTTCTCCAGGCTGAACAACCCCAGCTCTCTCAGCCTGTCCTCATAGGAAAGGTGTTCCAACCATCTTGGTAGCCCTCCTCTGGACTTGCTCCAGCAGCTCCATGTCTGTCTTGTGTTGGGGGATCCAGAGCTGGACGCAGTATTCCAGGTGGGGTCTCACAAGGGCAGAGTAGAGGGGCAGAATCACCACCCTCAAGCTGCTGACAACACAGTTTTTTGATGCAGCCCAGGATACGGTTGGCTTTTTGGGCTGCAAGCGCACACTGTTGGCTCATGTTCATCCTGCCATCCACCAGCACCCCCAAGTCCTTCTCCCCAGGACAGCTCTCAATCCACTCATTGCTCAGCCTGTATCTGTGCTTGGGATTGCCTCGATCCAGGTGCAGGATGTTACACTTGGCCTTGTTGAATTTCCTGAGGTTGGCCTGGGCCCACCTCTCCAGCCTGTCAAGGTCCCTTTGGATGGTCTCCTTTCCCTCCAGCACATCGACCTCACCACACAACTTAAAAATTTACTTAACACTCACCAATGTTCATTATAACTGTACTTCTTTAGACTGAAAACTAATAATCATTTAGAAATACATTGTAAGTTAAAGTCACAGAACTAACATTTTAATTGCACTTCTTCCCATTCAGACCCGTGGACAAAATTTTCCACTTACACAGCAATATAACTGTAGCTTATACATACCAACATTTCTAAATCCTACTCAATGAAAATTTCTTGAGCGCCTAAAAAAAATTATTTTTTTTAAAATCATAATTTAGACAAATATCTTCTCTAACTGAATCACATGGTAACATGAAGCAACATTTAAGTAACAAAATGTTTAAGGGCCTGAAACAAGCAAATATTAGTTCTTCCCAGTAGTTTAAAACATTCAGGTAACTTAGGAGTGTATCATTCTAGTCTTTTAAAACTTGGAGAAGCAAAAAGGCAAGTTGTCCACCATTCTTTGTTTCCTATTATTAAACCCAAAATCATTGATCCTTTTTACAAAATAACATGGCTAGACAGATAAAATCTAAGGCCTAGCTAGCATGGTTACAATGTTTAAGAGGCAGTTCTTAGATGCTTTCATAAATTCAGCACTTGCTGGTTAGAACAAACAAGAGTTGTGATTTACTTTTTTCATTAACATTTTTATTTAACTAGAAGCTTCACATTAAACACCTTTGTATGCACTGCATTAATACCTGGAAAATATCAAAAAATAAAATATGGAAGTGAGAAAAATATATTAGCAATACTAAGAAATTTGGCTTTAAAAAGGTTACATACACGTTCTAAATTCTGAGTGCAAGGAAACCAATGCAATGCAATTATGCTAGAAAAGCCGTTGCTGCTTACAAAACGTTGTGCAGCTGTTGGAGGAGAGGGTTACAGTGACAAACAGCTTCCCTGCTACAAAGGTGGCAGGAAATCTATCAAACTGGACAATAAAATTGCAATTGAGTTTCTTTGGCTTTTTATAGCAGCTGCATGTATCTTGATGTGTAGCTCTGCAAAACCTATCCAATTCTGTAACACTAGTCCTTTATGTACTAGTTCTTTATCATAGAATGGTGTTATAAATTAGTGGCAAGAATGGCGCAAAGGGTTGTAAAAAGGAAAAATAAGCAGTAACCCAATACAATTAGAGATGAAATAATAAAAACACGAATTGGTTATTCTCTTAGCAATGTTAAGGAAATATTTTTGTTCCCATATTTCCCACATTACTTTGAAAGCATGCTAGAAATCAAAAGCATCTGAGATGCACTTAGCATCGAACAATTTGCCCACTGAATTATTTCTGCACTATGTTAGATGTGAATCTATATGAATCTCAACATTGGTGTAACAAGATACAAGAATATTCAAAGTAAAATTAGATGGATTTAAAATTCATTTTCGTTAGATCTTAGTATCAGCTTATAAGGACATTTTCAAGTCATTAGTAAGGTTTTACCACAAAGAGCTCTTTTGTGATTTATCCTAATTTATGATTATGTAATTAAAAGATAGTTATGAAATACCATCTAGCTTTATACTGCTAATTGCATAAATTGCATGCACTTATTAAAAAGTTCAAATGGCAAATGCATGATAAAGGTGAAAAAATCCAATTTCAAAAATCCTTGATTATTGTATCATCATTCATATCACTACTGTTAAGTCAGTTTCTGGGTGCTTTCGTTGTTTAATCATTTTTCTTCAGGCTTCTGGAACTGGATAATATTACCCCCAACATCCAAACAAACTGAACTCCTTTATTTTCAAAATTACACCACCACTCTGCTGCCAGCTCTGCCCACACTCACATACTTCAAACTTTGCCATTGTTCAACTTCCCCTGAAGTTGGTTGGAAGAACAAACTGTCCTTCGATACTGATCAGCACAACAAAGTTAAAACTTGGGAAAAATGATACAGGAAGTTACTGCTACAAGCAAGGATACCTCACTATGCCAGCATGCCAGGAACCAAAAATGAGAAACACAAAGAGCAAAGCACCTCTTCTCCTCATTCACTATGTTACTGCACAAAAACATACAACACAACTTTGGTGGAAAAAAAAACATCAAAACAAAAGCAACATTATCTGTACATCAACCTTTTTTGTATTTTCCAAAACCATGGGGTTTTTTCTTAACATTTGGCTGTGGCATCACAATAAAATCTTGGGTTTTCCTATATGAACTCTAAACCATTGACTAGTCACATTAAGTCACTGAAGATAATGACCAAAAATCTATGTAATCATTTTGACATAGAAGCTGTTTAAATAACATTTCTGACATTACATTACCTTACAAAAAGAGTCTTAGAACTACAACTTGGCAGATAATGCGCTAGATAATTTCTAAATTCAATACACCAAAGCTCTGTGTAACAGAGGTAGAAAGGTGGTCCTCCCTCACTCACCTCTCCATCTTTCCCCAGGGACAGTTCCCCAGAAATTCCCAGCAACCACACAAATGCTTTAAATTATACCAGTTTCTATAAAAGCACATTAGGGATCTTTACCCTGGCTACAGCTTGCCACTGTACAATTTACTCCACTCACGCCCTCTGCATCTTGGCAGAAAGAGAGAAAAGAGGTTTTCTGAAGACTGCAGAGCTGACACAAGAAGAATACCTCAAAAATTAAAATGGGATTTCTGTAAGTGTTAAAATTTGGCCCTGGATTCTTTGCACCTGGATTCCATTTAGCTAAGTGACTATTAAATGATATTATTTCACACACTTTTATTATGTAAATTTCTACATTTGTCTCCCCATAGCCCAATAATCCATCATTGAGCTATGAATGTGATAAATAAACAGAGCTGCAAAGTAACGGTATTCTTGCGGTCTGCAAAGACTGACTTTTTTTGAGAAAAAGTTCACACAAAATCAAGGATCTCAGAAATGCTATCAATCCCTTAGAATCCTAAAGTGATCTTAAGGATTCATAGCTATCCTTTTCACACCATTAAGTTGCATGCATTTATAAATATATAATTTATAATTTAATTAATCTTAAGGAAGTATTTCTGATAAACCAAAACAATTACAAAGTCCATAATGGCCTCACTCTTTTGTTCAGAATAAGGCAGTCTAGTTATCTTTTGTACTGCTGTACCTTGTTCAAAGATCCACTAACAACTTCTATGATATAATTCTGGTTGTAACAACAACAAATCAGACAGAAAAACAATGAAGGGTAATAGTCTCATTCATATTGCAAGGTTATGCATTCTCACTCTGTATTCCATGACAGCTTAACAGCTGAAGCATCTGTCTTAACTTTGATTTCTTTGCTTTTTACTGGTTTGTTTTACAGGCTTTTGATGTTACTAAAAGGTATTTTTGTTTATGAATAGATATGGTGCGCCACCTTGTGTTCGTGCCATTATTAAAAAGCAAAATCAGCTCTAAAACTTTTCAGAAATTCTCCTGAAATTTGATTCTCTCATTTTTTAAAATATGTGTCATTTTCAGTACAAACTAATACTATCATAATTTGAGCAACAACAGAAAAAGATTTGTGTTCAAAGAACAAAAATAACATTTAATTGTCAAATATTCGGAAGTTACATCCAGTAACTGATATAAACACTGGGCTTTTATTTAACTGCTGACCTTCACTTCAAGATTATCTCACTGTATGATACAGCACTTTAAGGTTCTAGATCTAACTACACAGTGTAACAAAATTTCACTGTTCAAACACTCTATTCAAACTCTTTCAAATACTCACCTTTGAATGTGTGATCGACAGCGTATCTACCCAAACACGCCAGCCACCCCACTCATATTTGATTGCATGGTAGAGCAAAATTCGAAATATGGTATACACCATCTCAGTTATCTTCTGCTCCTCAGAAGTCTTTGGACTAAAACAGCAAAGGGAAAGCATCCACTCCTGCCAGACAGAGCACTGCAACAAACTCCTGCAAAATACACACATGCTATTTAATCAAATTTCAAAATGTATCTTAATAATACACATCAGCCAAGTCAGATTCAAGACATTTAAAACAACTGCTATGTGCAAACTTCTCTAATTTTACATACTGAAGCCTACAACAGAGTATAGAATTTGCTGAACAGCAACGAAGCTGTAACTGCTTAATGAGTCTAATTTACTAGGAGACCTTGTTACTTACTTTGCATACATGTGCATATAGCAAGATATCTTACCTCCTATTTTCTCTGCTGTTATTAAAAAGTTTAATCATATCTGAGAGAAAGGCTCGCCGAACCTCCAGAGTTTCTGGACACTGTGGAGAATTACGTATCAGGATTGCAATAACCTTCAAAATCTCTGTAAAAGAGTTCATGAGCAACAAAATATTAGCACTAAGCACAGCATGAAATACAGGACATCTTCCAATATTGTTTTTACAAGAAACGTGATGCTACATAAAGAAGTTTTATGTTGAGCAAAACCACATTTGAGTAGGTTTAACTAATACAAATCCTTTCTTCCAAGACTCCTGAAACCTGGTCACCATCAGGGGGATTTGCAGGCCTACACAGCTGAATAAAATGGAATCGAAGTTAAATTATTCTGATTTTTTTTTGAATTATCAGGCTTAAGCAACACAAATGTTACTGCATGACAAATGACAAGTAACCAGAATCTGTCAGAACCTTTTTTCTAAGGAAGTTCAAATAATACAATGCCTCCATTATGAGATCAATATATGAGAAAAATGCATAGATTTTGCTCTACCGTAATAATACTGAATTTTTGAAGTATGTGAACAACTGGCAATTATACCTAATTTCTGTTATTAAAAAAAATATTTTTGAGAAAGGGGACAAGACCTTCCTGATACAGAATTTTCTCTCTCAGGAGCATAATGTTTTCTATGTTTTGGGTACATCCACTTTTTGAAGCAATGGGGGAGTCACTGTTCTTGTTACTTTAAAAAAAGGTAACTTTGTAAATAAATTAGGGTGCAATTTGAACATGGTCACTGTGACAGTTTCAGTTCACCTTGTACAATTTCTTTAAAAAGAGAAATTCCTTCTTTGATAATATTAGCACTGATCTTAAGAAGGTACTCTAGAAGTCACTCTTCCTACTAAACCTAGATAATTCCAGACTCACACCTCACACTACAAATAATCTGTATTAACCACAGCAGTGACTTGTCAACTTCAAAATTCTTAAGAGAAAGTAACATAAGTCTCCTCACATCTCTTGCTTCATACAGACTTATTGGAAGCGAAATGGCTTACTGCAACCAGATTTCTTTCCTCCGTATCTGCTTTGCTTTCTCTTCCCCCACTTTCCACATGAAGCAGACTCACAACTATGACCTACGTTTAATGACAAAGCAGCTATGAAAGTGAAAAATCTATTATTTCTCCAGAAAAAAAATGAACTCCCAAAGCTATCATAAGTCCATTGTATTACATACAGAGCACATTAATAATGCATATAATTCAGGAAAGGAGATCAGTATTTTCTCTTAGTTCAAAAGACATCTAAAATTTCATATCAAGGTATTTCGCATAAAGTAAGCTAACCAAAACAGTGAGCAGATACATTTCTACTACTTTCCATCTACTGTTGTCATAGTAGATGTAATTTAAGATGAATGCTGTTTCCATATTTCAGGTAATTTAGCCTGACATCACTAAATAATGCAATCAGAATTTTGCTGGAACCCTAACGTATTAAATCAAAGTATCCTGTGCATGCAAGTCTTGAAAAACCATTTCATAACATGACTCCACAGCCAAAAAGGGTGAGTTATGAACTACATACACATTTAGACACATAAAACGTCTTTCAAAAAGCTAGAGAGACATAGCTCCTAAATAACTCCAACTAAATGCACATTATCTTTTCTTTTGTATGAAAGACAATGTAAAACTGACAGCAGAATTAAGGCTGGTGGATGTAATTAATAAGTTTTCTCATGTGTGTTTTTTTAGAGCAGATTTTTCTTACGGTAGCACTTAGAAACGTGTATCATTCTTACGAGGATTTTGTATCTTCACTGTTGAATCTGGGTCAGGATGTTGTTTATGTATCACTTGAGTGCAAATCTGTTCAGTCAGAATCTAGCAAGAAAGCAGAAGATGCCATATCAATGTTCATAAAGGCAGCTTACTGAAAAGTAGGCGGTTACATCCTTCATACAGCACCATCATTATTTCACCATAGTTCCAAAAATTATACAAAAAGCCCATTTGTTGTCTTGCTAATTTATTTCATCCTGTTCCTAAAATTTTACTCTGAACTATTTTTTTGCTTTCTCTTAAGCGCGTATTATTTTAAATACTCTGGAAGAGAAACGCGAATCTAATCAAAACAATCATCATAAGGCAAGATCATTACTATAATAAAATTCCACATATATATGAGTGTCAGTTTGAGACATACAGGTTACTCATTGTCTAGAGTTGTTCATAATGAGCATAACTAAGTTAAGGTCGGGGGGTGAATCTCAAGAAGTGAGCTTTGGAAAAAAAACAGCACTCAGCTGCATCACGCTAAGGTTTAATGTCATCTGGAACATATCAGCACAAATATGTAAGCAATTTTCTAACAATGTCTTACAAGTAATTAGGAAGATTGGATCCTAACTACAGTATATTACTACCTCAAACAGGACATTGTATGTGGTCATGGTGATTAAGCTTGTCTGAAGCATCAGCCTTTCAGCCAACAAGGAGAACAATCCATGTCCAAGCATGACTTCAGCTTTTCTCCTAAAATAGTACAGAAAGATAAAATAAACTTATGTATTCAACTTGCTTTAGGGAGGAAAAAAAAAAGTTTACAAAGTATGCCTCAAGAAATACGAAATCACTGGAAACATCTTGTTTGTTCCTTAAGCCTTTCACTTTTGCTTAAGGAAAAGGGCAAGGATTCGAATTCTGAAAGGACAAGTCATTCCCTGAAGACAAGCAGAAGACAACTAACTTTCTTCCATAAATACAGTCCACTCACCCATGGGCTCAAAAAGCTGAAACACATCCTTAGGTATTTCTTGATAAACACTAAGGAAAGGGCATCTTTGTCCTCATTTCACTCAAAAATACAACCATGGACAGCGTTCTCAAGTTATCTTTGCTCTGCTATTGTGGTCAACTTGAGACATATTAAATCTAGTTCTCAGTAAGTAACATGGTTCAATCTCACCAGTCTAATTTCAGTGAAATTACAGAAAAAGACCACTTTAAAAAACGGGTAGCCATTCTGCAAGTAAGTATTAAATGAACTTAGTAAGGAAGTGATAACACCTGGACACTAGTTGCCAATAACAAGTAATCGCACCACATCAGAAATGTATTAATGACAAATTGAAAGGTACTTGAAGAATAGCAGCTCCTATTCAGTGAAGCATATTTAGTGATTAACCACCAATATAGCGGGTTTTTTACTTCACATACAAACATGTGTGTTTATATACAGACACCAAGTAATATACACACCAAATAACATATATGGTATATATGTGTCACAACCTACTTTTTTTTTTTTTTTGCAGAGGGTGTTGGGGGGGTATGTGTTGAGGGGAGGTTTAAGACCTAAACCAGCACTTACTTTGGAGCAAGATGCTTTAAGAAATATCCCATCACTTTTAGAGCTTGCACCCTGATGCCTTCACTTTGCGATGCCAAAAGCTTGTAGACAACCCTAAGTGGAAAAAACACAAGGTTTCCTAAAATAGTTGAAATACACAGTGATTTTTGGAATGACAAATTAACCGCAGTAGACAGCAAACAAATTTGTATCTGAGTCTAATTTAAAAGAATGGCTATTAATAGGACTACAAAAAACAGCATGACATTTCTGTTAACAGCACAAGAGTTTGTGATTTCACATTTTACAATTACATTTAGAGATTTTTAATCAAATTTATAAATATCTCCCAAATATCAATACATAAACATGCTGTGAAAGGCTGCTGCAATTCCTATACTGAGAACTGTCTCAATCTGATGTTTTATCCAGAAAACTAAGCAAGCAATTGCTTTAGTATAAATGTAGCTGGACAGGAACAGCCATATATGGATGGGGATTTATTACTAGCACTAAAATTTGACATCTGCGCACGCTGTTGCTCCCTCAGGAGGGATAGAGGAAGACACCAAGTCAGGAGGCATTCTCATTTCACTTACATCAGCTTCTGCTCCTCAGCTGCTTACGATTCTCCACTAAGAAAGCTGAAGTGAGCAAGGGGCATGTCTGTAGCAAAGTACTAGGCTTAACTAACTGAAGTTTTCCCAAGAAAGAAAATGAGAGCGTAATAAACACCACAAGGAAAGTGTCAATGCAACCGATGAAAGTCTGGTAAATTAATAAACAACTGGAAGTACAGTCTTACAGTGGGAAGCGTCCAGTAACCCTAAATATATTTGACACTACCAATTCAATCTGTAATACTGCACAGATCCCATCACATGTATCTACACTTTCCACTCCCTGGACAAAAATAAATTGGACTAGTATCTAATTTTAACTTCTCACTTATTTGCAACACATTAAAGTTTAATCTTTTATTAAATTAAGTTTATTTGCACGGTGAAAAATTCTAATATTGGCCTTCTCTTAATTTGAAGAATAACAAATGCAAGTTTTTGATCCTTGCAAATTTCCCATAAAAATATAAGACATGTAAGTGTATTTACCAGTTACATCTAATTTCATTCATTACTTACTTTTTAGACAGTAAAGTGCTTATGACCATGTCACTATCTGATTCCAGTTGGGCTATGGTTCACAGTATTGGACAGATCTTTGAATTCGTGAAATATGTTTTAGCTTATACTACACGGACTACTAAGCTCTCTTTGAAAAAAGAAAAGAGATTAATTTCCTAATGCTCCATGAAACGATACAGGAACAGAAGGCACAGTACTCAGCCTTTACTGTGAATGTGTTCCGAGTAAATTTTTGAGGAAATTTGTATTACTTTATTAGAGGGAAGGAAGAAAAAAAATAAATCTAATTTCAACTATTCTTGAGTCTTTCCAAAAATATCCCATGTTATAATATGACATTTTAGATCAGCCAGTTGTAAAGAGTTCAAAGGACTTATTCAAGCTTTTAGGCCTTATCTATACTTATCTAACTGAGCACTCATCACTATTTATATATTTCTTCACTTTTACATACCTCAAAATATCACCTGAACTAAGACAAAAAAATAATCTAGTTCTATACTAGAATCTAAGTGAAAAGCCAGGAGTGATTAAAAAACAGTTACCCATAACAAATAACTTATCCTGGAGAAAGCTGCAGCCACAGCAACTATAGAATCAGACAAATGAGCAAGCCCACAACACAATGTTCATTCAATCAATATAATCCGTTTCCCAGCTTGTCTTACGAGAACAGTATGAGGGTTACCTAATTGCACAGGAAAATACTATTTCCTCACACTTATTATTTCTTCAGTATATAGATTACTTTTAAAAATTTAATTATTAAAATTTTCCAAATATTCATAAAGCTTTGTAAATTTTTTTTTAAATTTCAAGAATATGGTGGTTTAATTGTAGAAAGGAGATGTATCAATAAGCACACAAACAACCCGTTAAGTGACTGGAGACAACGCAGGCAAGGAATGTAACAAATGAGACAGGAAAACAAGTGATTTCTCACTGTGGACTCACTATTCATACTGACTTGCCCATATACTAGTTAATAAAAAAGAAAATGTCTACTGCCAGTTGTTAAAAACAAACATATTGCACTAGAGACCCAACATGACATTCAAATACTTTATTATTTAGACTTTTTATTAGTTTCCCACAGCATAATACATTACCATACAAATGAAGTCAAAGCTGAAGAAAATGGATTAAAAAAAAAAAAAAAATCAGCCTAGCACTAAAAGGGGAGAAAACAATTATGAACATGCCTGAATGTTGTCTCTTGAGAAACAGCAACTGAAAAAAAAATATATGTATAAATAGGGGTTAACCAATAGGTGCAACAAAATGAATGACATGAGACTCTGCCTTTACAGAGTGAGAGAATTACTACTCCACATACCCTTGTAGGAATAGTTCTTTTATTTGTTTGCCTGTTGCAATTTTTTCCCCACTATGTCCAGGTATGTTCATTTTAAATTAGAAAAGTTCAATAATGTGACCACTCTCTAAGAGCCACAATCCAAAATCAGAGTCGCAACTTAGTCTTTTTCTAGCAGATCTTCTCTTGTGCTTTTACTGTTAATAGAATTTGCTACTTTCCCTAATTTTCTCCCACAATAGCGTTAAACAGTATTTTTCTGTTTGCTGGCAAAAAGAGATTGTGAACAATCAATACCGCAAAGTGCTAAATTTAAACAAATAAAAGGTTTCTTCTGCAAAAGTCCCATAATGCTTCACATGTTTAAAAAAAAAAAAAGGAAAAAAGCTAAGAAACATCAGAAGGAATCCGAACGAATTTTTGTCAGCTAACTTTCAGTTCTAAAACATATGTAAGAATGGGAGGCTAAAGACTAAGCGCTAGTAGATGAAAACTTAACATCAATGTATAGACTTAAATTGATCACTACTCGTTTAAGCGTGACTGACAGCTTGGAAACATTAAAAAAACAAACCTAATTGATAATAAATCCAACATCACCACTTGTCAAAAGAACACTTGCACATAAATATCTCCCAAGATGAGGAGCCTAAGACTGCAACACACACAGACAAGGACCTTTCAGGTTTCATGGGATTCTAGCAAGCAACAATATGGTCACAATACTGTTTCCATTTGCCCACTTAAATTCAAACTTACTGTAATCCATTCCTCTGATCAAAAGCGGGGATCATAGAACTGGGATGCTCTGACATCAGAGCAACAAGCAACTGCAAGACATCCATTAGATTGTCATCCTGTTGAATAAATGTTACAAATTTGAATTAAAAATGCACGTACACTAGAACATCATTTTGGTTAAAAGAACCATTACAAGCATTTCAAAATGATCTGGAGAGTAATAGTGAACTAAGAACTGAAACAATTAGGCCAGGATCAAAAGAGCTATGGATCTGGAAGGCAAGTGCAGGAGAATCTATTGTCAAAAAAATACTTTATTTTTTAGAGTGAAAAGTGATACATCTGTGTTTGGGATGTAAGCCTTTGACAGGGAAGGGACTATTGGGCTATGCTATTTCTTTCCACACACACGCTCATTTGTTTGCATGTGTATTTCCCCTCTTTTACTGCACAGGAGCTAGAAATAAACTGCTACACATTATCTGGGGCACAAGGTGGTGTTTAATGCAAAATCTCTACTAACAAATGTCCACCCCAGGAAAAAAAAAATACCACCACCTGCCACAGACATTTAAAATGGGTAATTCAATCTGTTCAGTAAAGTTTGCCCCTATTAAAGCACTCTATAGTTTATTATCTTTTTCCAAGTTGATTATAACTAAAAACAACCTACAAAACAGCAAAATGCAACTGTCATCTTTCCCCATTCTTTCTGGTATTAAAATGAAAGCTTATTTAAAAAAAAAAACAAACCCACTTTCCAACACTTTTGAACAAATACTCTGATTCTTTATCAGAAAACCAGTTTAACAATTGTATCCACCTGATATTATTATTAACTTACATTACAGATGCTATCACTGATGAATGAGCACTATGAGAAGACTAAATTTTACTTTTTTTGTTGATGTTTTTCTGAATTTACAAATACATACGTAACTCTGTGGGATTCAGCATTCATGGGTCTTTTTAGACTTGACCATGCAAACTGCTAAAATAGTTAAAATATCAGCTCCTCATCTGAAGGCTATATAAAGCTTCTGCTATTTTGTTTACTCTTACATTACTAAGAGTTATTTTTTATATTTCCATATAAACTAGAATGACTTAAAATTTCTTGACCATAGTACTACCAAGTAGCAGTAACCAGCACAGAGAATAAAGGGAAAATATAAGTGTAAACAAGAAAAAAAAATGCATACTGCTTGAAGTGAAGTTCAATTAATTCCTTATTTTACCCATTTCAAGCACCCTTACAGAGATGAGATCAGTTAGATTTATGTCCCCATTTCCCCTGTCTTTGATGTTGCATCTGGCATAAAGTGCCTTTTCCTGGTGCTAAAATATGAAGATGCAGATGTATCAGTGGTAACCAACGTTTTCTCCCAATTAAGTTTATATGCTTCTCTTAGATGCCATTAACATACATCTTTATTTTTTAATGCATGTTTTCAATTTTATTACTTTATTTAAGAAGCAAAATAAAGAGAAAAACAAAAAAAAAATATTACTTAGGCAGCATAAAACAAGGTTTTGTCTTTTTTTTTTTTTAAAGTCAGTCTCACCATCTGTTTTTCTGCTTGGTAAATCAGTTTGCAGAACAACACAAGAAACCATTTTGACTTACTGGCTTAACGAACTTCAATCTAACATTGAACATACTGCTTAAATCCCTGCAAGAATATTGGCAATTCAGCACACTACACTAGAGGTGGACAATGTTTGCTACTTCCTCTACAGAGCCATCTGGTGGCATAAAGAAGGTAATATTTGAAAATATTCAAATATTTGGTGATCACAAGCTGCAGCAGTAGTACACCTCTCCTCCCACACAAGCCCCAAATAAAAATTACCTCATGTACAGTGAGCAGATAATTCAGGATAGCCTGCAATTCTTCTTCTTTTATTCCATAGTCCTTTAAAAACAATCAAGTTTTAACTATCATCATCTTCCAAGTACAAAAGTACTGTTCCCAAAAGAGCATTATTACAAGCAATGGTTATATACGGAGCAAGTCCCACACAACAAATTTTTTTTCACTTGATACTAAAATAGTTTCATAGATGGAAGGTCGCTTTTTCCCTGCATAAAAAATACCCACTGAAGGTTATAAATGTGCTTAAAGACAACTTCAATACCGATGTAAAAATAAGCTAGATAGTAATATGCTACATGAAATTTTTAGAGTAACACACATAAATTGATACAGACAATTTCAACTGAGAGCTTCCTATTAATAGAAGAATTAAATTAAGGTGGCAAAGAGGATTCAAAAGTAGACCTGGATTTTTAATTATAAGCCTATTAGCTATGCCTACGGCTGAGTTTGCTTCTTATTTTCCACTACAGAATCCTACCTTCAGTTGCTATTACTTTTCCAGAAATCTAAATCATTTATGGCATCTATGTCACAAATATGCCTTGAGGTCTTTTTGGTGAAAATAAAATAAAACCCAACAGTTTCTAAGAAGAGGATGAGGGTGGGAACAGTAGGCTCCTTCATTTCTAGGGTTTTTATTTTTTAAAGCAAGTCTCATTTCCCAAAAAGATTTTGTGCCACTGCTGTGTACCAACAGAAAATTTGCAGAAGAATCAACCTTTTATGATGGACATGCTTTTTACCATCCTTGTGAAACTCTACCCAAAACCATCCAAGTTATATATATGACAGAAATTTAAAAAAAAAAAAATTAAGCTAACACTTAATGAAAGTCTTTTAGAGTTTGATAGCTAAACTGTCCCTGATACTTCAGTTGCAGAACATCCAATTTAAAGAAAAAGTACAAGAGACAAGAGCAGAACTCTTCTGGTAGTTACTCCTCCATACTGCTGAGGCTAAGGGTAGCAGCAGAGAGCATACTGGCCCCTTAGCAACAAAGGGGAAGAGGGGAAAGAGGAGCTAGATTCAACACAGAAAAGTCGGTCTACAGAAAGAAGTGGAGAAGAGAGAGATGAGAACTTACAACAGCAAAGGTTAAGAAGAGCCTATTATAGCAGTAGAACTGCTGAATTTCAATATTCCTCTAATGTCTAACAAACAGTCGTGAAACTTATTTATAGAGTCGTTCTTATCCTCCTCTGTTCCACAGCACATAATGCCAAATGTTGCTCTTTAGTCTTTAAACACTTCTGATGCAGGTGATACTGTTCTTGTCAAAAAAAAAAAAAATTAAATACTTATTGCCCCAGTAGTAAACATTTCTAAGCTAATGACTTAACAGCTCCACTTTTGATAAAAACAGCTTGAAAGGGAGAAAAATGCATCTTCAGCACTGCTGTCTGTGGCAAGAGCCATGACAAAGATACACCTTACATGGTATTTCTATTTACTTATTTGTTTACAAAATTCAACATGCTTCGGAAAAAATGTACAGACCATTTCTTTATGAAAGGAAATTTAGATATCCTATCATGATTAAAAGTTATCCTACCTTCATCACTAGCTGTTTAATGAACATCAGCAAGAATGCTCGCAGAGATAAAATCTCTTTTTGAGTAGGCCGTGGCCCATCTACAAAAGAAGAAAAGTAGAGACATGTAATGCAAATTAACAGCTATTAATAGCATAGCGTGCATTTTCACGTAAAGAAAAATAAAGGCATTTTCTGGGTGAAGAGGGCACAATTCTAAGAATTCTTTCCTCCACTTCAGACTAAAAACAGCAATGCGTGTCATCCCTGTTTATTAGCAAAATGCCCAACCAGTGAGGTTCTACTAAGGCTTTTATTAAATACAGTTTTCTAAGCCCCTCTACATTCTTTTCATCAATTTACCACTCCCATGCAGTGTCTATGAATCAACTTCACACAAGGAATAAGACTGATATGAGAACTTTATGTCAGAACTTCCAGATTTCAAGTTTTTGCCGTTTACAATTGTTGTTAAAGTTCTTCCGCTAAAGCTCAAAGGAAGAATTACATGCCATTAGTACACATTGGCTATATGCACAAAAATCAATCTTACAATGCTATATACAAAAATTACCTGGAAAGCCATGACTTAATTTGTTAACTCAAAGTCAAAAGGACTTGCTTCTGCCATTCCTGTGTAAAGCAGACTTTCACTGAAATATTTTAAATACTCAAACACTGAGTAGTTCCCAGGAGAGGCAAGGTTAAAAAAACAGGTGCAACCAAATGTCAAAGCCAAGTAAAAGCTTTCATAGAGAAAGCAAATGAACTGTTGCAAATACATCTCTACGGATCGTTTTTACATTTGCTCATAGGTTGACAGTTCTTACGGTCTTAATCATGAGGGAAAAGGAAATCAACTAGCAAATGCAAGTGATCATATGAGTCTAGTTTAATACAGTATAGGCACACAGGCATATTTGGTTTAAGAGTAGTTATTTTCAATATAGACCAGCCTAGTCAAAATAAGTCATCAAACTGTATTAGTAACGACTATCCTACACATACACTTGCCTCAGGCTTAATAAACCAGTTCAGAAACTAATTAAGTCAATCTACATCTTCACCAAAAAGAAAGGAAAAACACGCATGCTTTGCTCCTTACAAAATGCAAAAACACCACAAAACATTTTTTGCAACCCTTTAACAGGAACGGTTGGTCATTCTGAGAAGCTGGTGGCAGGAAGTCGATACATCTAAGGATCACTCCCTCCCAGTACATCTAGCTCTCTTTCATCACCTGCTTCTCTCTCTGAAATTCCAGTTATTTCTTCATTACAGGAGAAAGTAGAGATGCAAGTTATTCTCCCTTTGCCAAGGCTGTGTGCCCAACCCCATAACACACAGAACAACTGGAAGAGTCATAAAGTCATACTTCCAAACAGCATTAATTCCCTTATCTGTGCAAGTTCCATCTGCATGTGTTTATGTTATCCTGGTGCATGTTTCACTTCTCCCAGTTCCCTTCACAGTACTGAATTTCTAAGTCAAGCAGCTATTCCTTTTGCATTTTTCTTAGGATCAGTATTCTTGCTCTGTGTTTGATGTCAATGACAAGTACTAAACATCTGTTCTAAATTTCTTATTCTTACCTTTTTCTTTCACCATGCATTTGCTGTCCGGATTAAGCATACTTATTAAGCAGTTTTCCAACAAGTTCAGATCCCTACATCTGTCAGACTCAGTATGCTTGTTTTCAGCTATACTGGTATTAACAATAGATCTTACAAGCACTTAAAGACTGTCCACTACTTGAACAAGCTCCATTAACAGACCACATTCCCAGGCATAGCTCCACACTTCCAAAACCCTACCATTTCTCTGATCAGTTCCAATGAGTATTAATTCACGTAGGTCTTTGATGACAGAGGATATGACTTCCGAAGAAAGTTTCCGTTAGTTTGTGAAAAAAAGCTTTCAAGAATATCCTTTGGATAAAAGCACACTGCTCAAACTGTTACAGTCAACCCACCCCACTAAAATAAAATTCTTTCTGGAACATTTACATCTATTCTGTACATTGTATACAACATTTTTTTAAAAACAAACATCAGCTTCTGAGAGTAGAAATTAATACATACCTGTGCCCTTGGGAGTTATACCACTGCGATCCTGAGGATTCACTACCCAATAATAATACTTTAGGGTATGCATGACCAAAAGAACTGTCCCAACTCGTCGGATTGCACCATATATGTTAACAGTGCCAATGAACTCAGTAGACAGGTAAGTGTACAGGATCAGCTGAACCTACAACAGCCAATAAGGAGACCAAAAATCATTGCAACAAAATTGCGGCACATCAGACAACTGCATTCTTAAATTTTATCTATCAAAACGGCTTAAAGAAATAGATTTTGTCTGCATAGCTCAGTCATAAAGCTCTTAAAACCCTTGCAAACTGATAAAAAAAATCCGTTTTATTTCTAAAACTATAGATTTCTGTGGTTTTTTAAGCTGCTCTACACTCATAGGCGCATGAAAACACGCTATTCACACGATCACAGATAGCTGCGACTGTAGGGCACCTCTGTAGATCATCTATTTCAACCTCTCTGTTCAGAACAGGGTCACACATAAAGCATTATAGAAAGGTGCATATTTATCATATACTTAAATATTCATTATAGGCTTAATTATTGTCTAAGTTTATCCTGTACCCAAGGCTAAACTGTAACAGTCACTCTATCACCTGATGAGCCCTTACCCGCCAGGGAGGGGAATCAAGGAAAAGAAGAGCAGACCCGTGGATAGAAGTGAAACAGATTTAATGAAAACACCACCAATACCAACAGAGATATACAGTTATACTCAGCCAACTGAATATCCAGTCATCACAATCGAACAGAGAGCAGTCCTCAGGAGAAGCCAGAGGAGGAGCAAGAAAGACCCCAGCAGAAACCCCACAGAAGCTCTCTCTCCTCCTCTATAATGACCATGACATTACAGTATGGGCTACACCTGTAGCTCACTCAGGTCAGTTGCCCTGGCTGACTTGAAACTGCTAATGGCCTGCCTAACACGGCTAGGCTGGGATTCTGTCCCAGACAAACCAGGATAATTATTTACATATCTTTTTTCTCTTTTTCTTCTGAGAAATAATGACTTAAATAATACTTAATAATTTAATTCAGCTGTAGCAAACATAAACGTTTTACAACAGCTTCAACAGTAGCATTGTTAGTGCTGTCTCAGTTTTTGAAATACAAAACAAACCCTCTACGGAGGGAATCAAAAAATTTGGTAACAAGGTTTCAAGCAGAGCCAACGGGAAAGTTTCCATCCAAGCTGTTTGCTCTGAGAACACAGATTCACCAAACCAAAAATACTCTGCAGGAAATATATCAATTTAAATGAAGACTTCAAGTCTGACACGCAGGATAATTTCCCTTAAAAATTGCTCGGTTTTTGCCAACCAACCCATCCAAAATTCCTTTTATATCTACAACACTAACTGGGTCAGTGACTCCAGAAGTCACTCCCAACTCTGCAGAATGCTGCAGGTTTCCAAACTCCCTGAAAACCTTGGGAGCCTGCAAAACTTGACCGCTAAATGCAGAAAATCAGAGTCTGAAAACAGTTCAGGTATGATTTCTGCTGGGGAGCCACGACCTGTAGTCCTTGGAATCCAGGCTCCACTCCCAACTCAGTGCATCATAAGATACCTTATTCATACAAATAAGCAATTTTACCTGTGCTGGGATATGAATCCATATTGCAGGATTAAGGAGAACATGATCACACAGCTGCTTCAGCAACGGTACCCCATTGTGTAAGTTGCTCAGGTATTTCGAAAAGGCAAGGCAAAGTTCTAGTACAGCTCGGGTCACGTGGGCTTTGGAAGACTGTAAAAGAAGATCTGCTTAAGGAAAAGCCCTGCAACAGTCTAGCAAAGTATTTCTCTCAACAACAACAACAACAACAAAAAAAAAATCAACATTAATGCAAGACATCAAGAAAGATTTGCTTTACCTTTTCTAAGCTATATCCTATCACAAGGAAGCCCTTACAGGAAAGCATCTGTTCTTGCATAGCAATGGAGTTCTTCAACAACTCCATGATGAAAGCCAATAAAGTAGAACTGAAAAATATAATGTTTTAGTAAAGAAAAACACTTTAAAGGTTTACAATGAGACAGAAAGTATTTCCAAATTAACACATGCATCAGACAGCCCACAGATACATTTAATGTGTTGTATAACACAGACCAGAATTTTTAAAACAAAGTAAGACTGAATTCCGAAAGCTCTAACTTCTCACTTATAACGAATGCATTTCTAACTTGAAATTCTGGATTCTGAGACAACCATTCAATAGTAAAATTCTTCTGAAAATACATTCTTGCAGAAAGGCAACAGTTAAGCCTGTACTACTCTCTGCTTCTTATTTCACTTACAGACTTCTACAAGATCAGTAACAAATGCCATTCCACTTCCTACTGCTTTCAGATGAGCAGATATTGGAAATATTTTTCTAGACACAGCTTTACTATTGGTTCATGCTAATCGAATTCTCTGCTGCTGCCAGAAGGTGTGTTCATGCTCCTCCCCTTGTGTCACAAAACTAGTGCCTATGAATCAAGACCTTAGCTTGCTGAAAACTCCTCCATCGCTGGTCCAGTTTGCAAGTATATCAAATCCCTGACTCACCACATAGATGCCTAAGCCTCAGTCAGCTCAAGAGAGGCCCAGGAATGTACAAATGGGCTGAAGGAACATTGTGGCCATCCTTTCTTAGCAATAACACGGATGTAGATCATCTTTACACAGTCATGAAACTACAATTGCAATGAAACAGAGCAAACTACACCAGGACCCTAAAAACCAATCCCTTTGCTATTAATACTACTCTCTAACTTCGGAGTTCCACCCATTTCTGTGCCTGGATGTTCAGAAGTTGGACTGAGTTGAAACAGAGACGAAATGAGAGGAAAAACCTGTCAGTAACACTAAGTAACAGTATCTTCCAAAAAGTCTGAAGGTAAAAAAAAAAACAACCAAAAAAATCCCAAGGAATAACTTCTTGTAGCTGAAAAATTCACCCTTCCTGGAGTTTCTCTTGAAACCTTCCCCCGTGGATTTTCTCCATGACAGGAATAAGCTCAAGAGAATTGTCTGTAACTCTGTTACACAAAAAAAAATGTGAAGTAGAAATGTGTACATTTTGATTCTGTGTGAAGTTTCATAGAAAATTTGGTGCAAATAAACACTTCACTTTGAGGTCCTGCCTGTAATAAGGCCACGTTTTTGTTGTTTGATATAATGCATTGCACAAGACTTTAAACCGCTATGCCACTCAATAAAGCAAGAGGTGATTTCCTTTACTTAAAAAGAAACAAAGAACAGAACACAACACACACATGCACTCACCAAACAGTGGTGTCAACGTGGTCCGATGAATATTGCCTATAGTCTAACTGTGCAAAGAGAGGGAAAAGTACCTGCACCCCTCCAATGGAGTGCAGAGCACTTTGGATAGAATGCGTTAAGACTGCTTTCACATCCTGACAAAGAAGAATTAAGAAATATTGAAATCTCCTTCAGAAACTGTTAAAAAGTTTGTTAGAAATAATTTGAAACTTCTCCAATATAAAAGTTGTATTATTACCAAATAAACAGCAAGAAGTACATGGCTGTCACAGCCACACTAAATGCCTCACAACAAAAACGTCTGGCTGACCTACTGCTTTAGATACAATCTACAGCGTAGATCCTCAGATGAATATACAGGAGGTGGTTTGCAAACTCTAAACCAAGTATTTAGTAACAGAGAAACTCTAGAACAGAACACATGAAAAACTTTTGACAACTTAAAAAGAAAAAAGCATTCAAAGCATAGGTAAGAAAAGAGTATCATATCAACAGGGCAAAGGACAGGAGATAGGTAGTATCTGTAGGGGAGTGAACATATGTCAGAAATGAGGAAGAAGGATTTTTTTGAAAAGCTAACATGGTCTTTGTAATACTGATATTTTTTAGCTTATAACTTTGTTAAAATAAACTTATCTTAGGATTCTTGTGCATCCACATTAATTCAAGAAATAGAGGTGGTAGCAGTGGAGACAACCCAAAAAACCTAACCTATCAGCAGTTCCCTATCTTGTCCAAATACCTATAAAACTTGTTTTTTAGGTTTTCAAACAGAAATTACTTGTATCCTCCAAAGCTATGAAAACACTGAAATACCTGCAGCATGAGGGCATGTGGTGAATGCACAAAAATAGAAGGGTTATCCTTAGGTGATGACTCTAGACACAGCTGTGCATCTGTAGCCCTTGGATTGTACATAAAAGCAATAGCACTGGATAGTTTGCCATCATATAGTAACAATTTGTGATGTTCAGCAAGGAAGAGATCACTTTCTGCCTTGAATTTGAACGTTCCCTGGATTGGGGAGCAGGGTTGAGGAAGGAAAAAAGAAAAAAAAAGTTAGATTACACACATTGAGAATACAGTTCAGAACACAGCTATTTCCAAAAAATGACTAAAACATTACTTCTTCAATCTAGCAATATTTCAGAAAGCAGAGGTCTCATCACAACACTGACTCAAAGTCAATTTTACAGTTAGAACTGCAGAATTTTTTTTGACCCCTGAAGAGTGACATTGCCAAAATGGAGAGTAATGTAAAAGAAACACATCAGCCAGGAAACAGAATGACAGTTAGCAATGTTCACTCAGAAGGAACTAATAATTGAGAGGCAGATAGAATAGGAACCATCTTTTTTAGCGTATGTTTGTACAGCTGCTAGGGAATAAGAGTCTTCAATTAGTGCCCCTCAGGCTATAACAAAACAAATAATAAATCACTGCAACAAAACTAATCCTCAGCACTAACTTCACACATTAAATCTGGCTAGCACAATCAACTATAAAGCTACATTTCTAAAACAAATACATCGTACTTGACCTAAAGTTTTCAGCCTCGACGAAAAAGTGAACCTAGCCAGAGATAACAGTGGTGTTCTGCTTCTCCCATCCACCAACACAGAAATTTTGAGAAGTAAACAGGAACACAAATTTATTTTTTATAAGAAATTAATTAACTTAATTAATGCTTACTTGTGGTTTGTAAGGTGATACATAGGCTTAAAGAAGGAACATAGAAGAGTTTAACAAAAAGATTACACAGTAGGAACACTTTTAGAATGACACAGAGGTGTCACAATATTCTTAAAATCCACCATAAAGAGCCTTACTGAACTCTGGAAACTTTATGTTCAATTCTAAGATACCTTATATCCCAGACCAAGCTGATAAATGGCAAAGATCTGAGCAGCATTCAGAGCCTCACTAAAAAGGTAAATGGAAGTCATTTGCCCACAAAACACTCGATTGGCATCTGCTGTTTCTGAAGAACCCAGGAAACATTTGTCAAATGTCTGAAAATGAAACAGAACCCAGAAACAGGGTTTAATCTACACTAGAAAGCAAATTATGCAAAGAATGTACATATTATGGGGGAATGTTATTTTTACATAAACAAGCATTTGAGGGCATCAGCAGAAAACAATATTAAGTTCCAACATGTATAAAAGCAGAATATACTCCCCTACCAAAAAGTTATTAATTTTATTTCAATATTTTTTAAATTTGACATTCAAAAACGCATAAAATGGGGGAAGTTTATTAATAAAATTGAAAAGGTTATCTATCTATTTAATCTATCAAGATGACCAACTATAGATATTAGTGCACAGGGATTACTTACATCACTGGTGTTGACAAACCATGTTATTTCTCCATAAGACGCCAGCTCCCCATTCACATAACATCGAAGTTCACTATTTTTCCAGCGGTTATAGATGTGCACTATAGTAACCATATACCACTAAATGATAAGAAAACAATTGATACAATTCTATAGATACTTCAAGTAGCTTAAGCATTAAAGTAGGGCATAGTAGAACAAATTCAACTATTTATGTGAACTAAATTAAGATTCAAAGATTTACGTTTAAGTCAAAAAGATTAAGTCATTGGTGAGTTTTCTTGCGTAGCTATGTCAAAGACTAATATACCACTTATTCCACAAAAAGTAGACACAGAAGCTTAAAAGATATTTATGACACAGAACTTAAAAAATCTTCATGGGAATGCTGAATGAAATTTACACTGAAACCACTGTGTAAATAAGCTTCAAGTTGGGTTACTCTTAGCATGATGGACTACTGCAACTGTTGTCATTCCAGAGCAAGGATGGCTCCAGGCTAAAGACTTTCAAAGGCTGTGCATGTCAGATTATCTCAAACAGAATCCATATTTACAGCAAGGGATTACTGATAAGAAATTCCTGACAAGGCCTGTTCTCCCACAAAATGTTTACACTGGTAGCTCCAGAAACATTAGCAGAATATCCAATTGAAAAAGGAAACTTTCTCAATATAGCATAATACTATTTACTAGGCAAGCAAGCCTTGAGCATCAATAATAATATCAAATCATACTTGAATTCTTACATTTAAAAAGATACATAAAATAAAGCACCAAATACAAGGAGACTATTTTCTGGACAACCTGAATGAACATAAAGTATAACATTCTTTCAAGAACAAATCTGGTTTTCTCCTACATGTATTATTATCTCCTATTAATGGTTCTATCTTGACGAGGAATACAAAACATGGGTTAGTAATCATACTTTAAAATAACACTGTATTTGTCCACATTGAGCATGTAATGACATAAAGGCGAGGCTTAGCAAAATCCTTTAGGAAAAGGAGAAGAGAATGTCTGAAGGTGGGAGAAAACACAGTATAAATAAAGAAGGGAAAAATCACAAGCCTTGTGACTTTCAAGCTGTGTGTATGTACTGAGTTCTCAGAGAACTCACACAAGTCCCACAAATTCATAAAACTTTAAACCACACTTAAGCAAAATTAAAAAGAAATAAGAACTCAAAACACAAACGTATTTTGCAGTGTAATTGTTCTTATACAGAAAGACGAGCATAATCAACAGCTGCAACACTCCTCCCCCCCAAGCTACATCTTTAAATTTATGAAACCTGTTTGAAAGATTTTTATTTTTACTCACCTTTTGCGGCTTGAAATCAAATTTTACACAATGCTGGAAACCTTTTCCCTTTGATTTTACAGATGTTACAATCAAGCAGCCTCCAACAAAGTGAGCAGAATAACCAAGTCCTTTGTTTGTTCGAAAACTAACAAATCAAAACAAAATCAGCACATACATAGATGGAAGCAGAAATTATTGAACAATAGAAATTGAACATCAGAAATAGTTTTACACAATACTCACCAATATAAGTAAGGCTTATCCTTATCCACATTGATATTATTTACAGGATCCATTCTTAGCCAAGTGTGGAAAGTAAACCCATTCTGGTACGGCCACTTGGCTATAGGAGGTAAGGCAATAGCCTAAAGAAAGCAAAAAGTTATTCATGTAGAAAGATCAACATCACAATTGTAAGAGTACTCAGCTTAAGGTATACACTGCAAATGTATACTGACAAAGTGTACGGTTCCTCTATACTAAAAAAACCCTGGCCTAACTTCTGTGCTTTTTACACAATTGTGAAAATATTTAATTAATCTAAATATTTAAAAACTAGTCTTTCTATCTCAAAGAAGATTAGTAATAGCAACCTACACTTCAAAAATTAAACACTTCAGCGGCAGCCTCATGGCATAAAAACTCCTCAAAACGCAAATTCAAGTTGATTTGGTTTTGTGGTAACCTAACGGAATCAGATTTATAAACTTCTTTTCATAGTGTTGGTATTCAGAAAAATAACTGATCATGAAAAGAAGCTGGCCACAAAAATAGAATCATATACATTTCACTTAACAGATTCTTTTCTCTCTTGAAAGTCATGTCTATGTAGCCTTCCAGTTAGAATATGACAGACTTAGAAACTTCCTTAAAAGAAAGGTAGAACAAGCCCCACCAGCCAAAATCTTCCTATCAAACACTGTGTTTATGTTAGCTCAAAAGCTCTTAAGTTACAAACTGTGTGGCAGGGCCCTTTGTTTCAAACAGTTAGGTTTTATTGCGTGAATATTTTTCTTTGGTTGGGTTTTTTTTAATGTTGCTATTAACTTTCCACTGTTTTGCTGCACAGATTGCAATACACACTTCAACTAAGCCTGCCATAACCTCTGATCAGAGATGCTGTCCAGATGATCAATACCAGTGAACAAAATACATCAAAGAACTCGAGTGTCACCAGACTCCTTATTATGCTCCCACGCTCTGTTCAGCCATCCCTGTCCAAACAAAATGCCATAAATCCTTCTCTACACCAGCTAACTAATCAGTCTACATATCTTTGAGCTCAACTTTTGGGAACTGGTAGCACTATCATTTGGTTTAACTCACAATGGGATTTTGGAGTAATTATATTAAATAATTTCTAAGACTCCCTAATTTAAAAATATACAAGAATATTCATATTAAGGTTACTGAGGCACCCTAAAATCTCATACAGTCCAAGCATTCAACACAATTGTTAGAATTTAAACACAATACCAGTACAGGAATAGCCAAAAGGAACAAAATGTCTGCCTATTGCCAAGTGCTGTTGCATGTGATAAACATGTAACTGCAGAAGAATTTTTCTAGTAGTCTGCGTTTTTCAGTCTCAAGTTTTCATTCCAAAAAAATTCATTATGTCATCAAGTTGGTGAAATACAATTTCAAGCCACCAAGGCACAAAGGTAACGGGGTTTATGTGAAGAAAACTGGAAAGAGTCATTATTATTTCAAATCTTATTCAAATCTTATTCTGAATTCAGCATGAAATTTTGAACATACTATTTCATCCTACGATTTTAGGAACACCTAAATTCCTACAGAAGATTATGCACAGAGTTTTCCAACTACCTATTTAGTCTCAAATTCTTTTTCAAGGGAACACCTAGAACTTAAAAATTAATCAGTCACCTGAACAATTATGAAAAGACTAATCATTGTTAAATTTAATCCTCTTTCAGTATTATCCGTAGAATCACAGAATGGTTTGGGTTGGAAGGGACCTTAAAAGATCATCTAGTTCCAATCTCCTGCCATGGGCAAGGACACCTTCCACTAGACGAGGTTGCTCAAAGCCCCATCCAGCCTGGCCTTGAACACTGCCAGGGAGGGGGCAGCCACAGCTTCTCTGGGTAACCTACTCCAGTGCCTCACCACCCTCACAGTAAAGAATTTCTTCCTAACATCTAACCAAATTCTACCCTCTTTCAGTTTGAAACCGTTACCCCTCGTCCTATCACTGCACTGCCTGGTAAGGAGTCCCTCCCCACCTTTCCTGCAGGCTCCCTTTAAGTACTGGAAGGCCACTATAAGGTCTCCCCGAGCCTTCTCTTCTCCAGGCTGAACAACCCCAGCTCTCTCAGCCTGTCCTCATGGGGGAGGTGCTCCAGCCCGCTGATCATCTTCGTGGCCCTCCTCTGGACCCGCTCAAGCCTTTCTTGTGCTGGGGGATCCCGAGCTGAACACAGCACCGCAGGTGGGGTATCACCAGAGCAGAGTAGAGGGGGAGAATCACCTCCCTTGACCTGCTGGCCACGCTTCTTTTGATGCAGTCCAGGATGCAGCCTATACATGTCTAGGATCCACATTTTCTCACAGAATTCTTATAAGCTATATATGTTATTCACATCATCTGAGCACGAAAAACTAACAAATTGTACAAGTATGGCCACTTCTCGTTCAGCACTTTCTGTGGTTTCACGAGCAAAAGTTTCTGGCAAGGCTTTGGTAGCAGGGGGCTACAGGGGTGGCTTCTGTGAGAAGATGCCAGAAGCTTCTCTCATGTCTGATAGAGCCAATGCCAGCCAGCACCAACAACAGACCCGCCACCAGCCAAAGCTGTGCCAATGAACAACAGTGGTAGCGCCTCTGTGATAACATACTTAAGAAGGGGGAAAAAACTGCTGCACAACAGCAGATGTAAGAGGAGGGTAAGAATATGTGAGAGAAACAACTCTGCAGGCATCAAGATCAGTGAAGAAGGAGAGGGAGGAGGTGCTCCAGGTGCCAGAGCAGAGATTCCCCTGCGGCCATAGTGAAGACCATGGTGAGGCAGGCTGTCCCCCTGCAGCCCATGGAGCAAGTATCCACCTGCAGCCCATGGAGGACTCCACGCCAAAGCACATGGACGTGCCTGAAGGAGGCTGGCGCTCCATGGGAAGCCCACGCTGGAGCAGGATCCTGGCAGGATCTGTGACATGTGAAGAGTAGCCCATGCTGCAGCAGGTTTGCTGGCAGGACTTCTGACCTTGTGGGAGACCCACACTGGAGCAGCCTGTTCCTGAAGGACTGCAGGCCGTTGAAAGGATCCGCACTAGAGCAATTTGTGAAGAATCGCAGCCCATGGGAAGGACCCATGTTGGAGAAGCACATGGATGGGGAGGGACCCTACGCTGAAGCAGGGGAAGAGTGAGAGGAGGAAGGAGCAACAAAGGCAACATGTGATGAACTGACCACAACCCCCATTCCCCGTCCCCCTGGGCCACTCAGGGAGAGGAGGCAGAGAAATCAAGAGGGAAGTTGAGTCCAGGATGAAGGAAGGGGTGGGGAAAAAAGTGGTTTAAGATATGGTTTTATTTCTCATTACCCTACTCTGATTTGATTGGTAATAAAGTAATTACCCCAAACCAAGTCTGTTTTGCTCATGATGGTAATTGCTGAGTGATCTCCCTGTACTTATCTCACCCCACCAGTCTTTTGTTACATTTTCTCTCCCCTGTCCAGCTGAGCAGGGGGTGAGATAGAGCGGTCTGCTGGGCACCTGGTGTCCAGACAAGGTCAACCCACCACGAAGCCACTCTCACACACACTGGATGCTAACACAAGCACCATTCCCACAGAAATATGGAAATAAAAAGCTGGCAGATTCTCCTTGCAACAAAATTTAACTGAACCAGAATTGGGGAAAAAAAACAAAACAAAACAAAAACCCAAAGAGAGCCTCATTTATATTCATTCTTTATGTAATAGTTATTTGTCCTTCTATAGGGATAATGCACATTTATTATAAGCACGATTTATTTACGCATACTGTAGGTGTCAGGCTGAGAAAAAAAATTGGTTAAAACTCTACATCTATGACAATGACAGATGAGACAAAACACCACAAATTAAAATAACCAATGGCCATAATAGAACGAACAAACAAGACACTTAAAGTATCTACATACTGCAGCACTTTTTCCTGGAAAGTTGAAGAAGGCATCAGGTCCATACTTCTGAGGCATGTGTTTTAACACAGACAATAACTTCCCAGCATGTGGTGGCTGACAAAGAGAATTATTACACTTGTAAATAAGTCAAACACACCTATAAGAAAGAAAAAACTATACACACAAAAAATTAATTCTGACACATTTTAAAGCTGTGCACACGGTTGAGTAACACGCTGGTAAGACACTTAGCACTTTCAATAAACAACACTAACAGAGTATTGTGGATACTTTCACACAATATGCAGTAGGTGCACTGAAATACAATTAATTGGATAACTAAATTAAGGACTTGAAGGCCAGAGCCACTTTCCTGGCATAAACTAAACTGACCCTGAATGCTGCTTCCTCCCTCCATCTATTCATTCCCATCAGTGCTATCATTTGTGTGGATTTGCAGTGAGCTAAAGAAAATTAACTGATCCAGCTGAAAACTAATTTAGGAAAAACAAATGCAAAACAGTTTTCAGATACAGCAGTTTTGGATTGTGGCTGCATGAAATACATGCCAGCACAATGGAGATGGGGAAAATTTAGCAAAAGGGAGAGGGAGGATCAGCAGACAGGACTATTTTCATCAGGACTACAGTCTTACACTAGATTAAAGTGGTTTTTGGTTACATATATCCTTTCACGTAAGTCCCCAGAGAAAGATTCAAGTCTCAACAGCAGTTTGGAGCACCTAAACTGAGAGCTCAGTCAGTGTGAATACTTAACAGTTCATCATCACCATCCCAATTCTGCATGATTCTGTTGTAATACTTGGCAACTATAAGCTCCAAATCAAGTATATGAGCTCACAACAGAAGTACAGTGATGGAACAATTTTGTGTGCCTTCTTTTACCACTTCATAACTTTCCAGACCTCTATTTTTAAACTACAATTTTACACTTCCAATCTTTTCCTGAAAGTGCCATTTTTCCCCCTCTTGTAAGCAGCCACCCTCTGAAAACTAAGCATTGCATAATCGGTTACATTTCAAATGTACCAAAATTATAGTCAGATAACCAGTGCTTCATGAATCTGAATTAAAATCGAGGAGGAAACACAGAGAACTGCTTAGATGTCTTCAGCACTACAGAATTCAATTAGGTAATTTGTGTTGTAGCTGAATACTTCGTATCTTTACAGCACTGCTGATTTTAAGATTTATGGAGTCATGCAACTCCTTAGCAATGCAACTGTGGCATTTTTCTCTTCCTTTCCTCCATATTTAGTCTTTAATAAAGAAAGGAAATTAAATGCAAATAGCAGAGAGTCAGGAAATTAAAAAGTTACTGTTACAGAAACAACTTCAATTCATCTATGGTTAAATATACTCCATATCTTCAATTATTAAGTTTAAAACCTCTATTAAGTTTAGAGTATTTTTATTTGCACAAGTTAAGATCTCCAAAATTATTTATTTCAAAGGCTCTTTTAAAATTTGCTATATTGTTTGTGCATACTAGCTTTTATATTGAATACGTTTTTTTTAATTGTTTGAAGGTAATAGAGACACTGTGCTACCTTTTCTCTACACCAGGCAGAGTATTTAGATATAATAGGAGCTGAAATGAAACTCAAAGCAGGTAAAATGATTGTTACAATAGTTACCAATTCCAGCAAAATGATTTCACGTTAAAGAAAACTTTCTCCGGTGGCCTCTACAACATACACAGTTTTACTTT